CCCCAAAACCCCAAAACCCCAAAACCCCAAAACCCCAAAACCCCAAATTTTTAATAAATTATTGACAAATTTTAAGCTAATTTCCTTCCTCAGTTATTTTTGAGAGAGTTTTCTGGTCTCTTTTTCGGACTTTTGAAGGGGGTTTTGCGAAGCCATCGAAAGCAGTGATCATTTCAGCAGAGGTATTTTCAAGTGAAGGGATTAAAGAGTCTTCTTTAGAGTCCTCTTTAGGCTCCTCTTTGGACTCCTCTTGGGGTTCTGCAACTGGATTAGGGAGTAATGAAGTGGGCTCAGGTGAAGAACCTTCTTGGATTTTGCCAGATTCCTCGAGAGGATCTGCTTGAGAGGGAGGAGAGTCTTGTTGGGATCCTTGGAATTCTTGGACTACTTTAGCCATCCTTAAGAGGCTACTCTTCTCCTCTGCAATCTTAGTGTCCGTAAGCTCTGCTAAGATTTTGGAAAAGAGGAGTTTGAGTCTTGATACTTTCTTAATCTTGAATTTTTCAGGAATCAACAGGTTATTAGCTACTATTGGCTCTATTGGTAACTGCACTCCTTGGAACATGTATGCCATTTTGTGAATTCAGGCAGCTTTTTTTTGGCTTAAACTCTGGGCAATTTCAGACTAATGTTTGTGGGTGAATAATGTACTTCTTAAAACTCTGGCTCTTTTTGGTAGAACCTTTGGCTTCCTCTCCAAAGTTTGGCTCTTTTATGATGATCAAAGGAATACTGTTGTCACCTGGTTCTATATTTGGGATCTCTACTGTTCACATTTTTCCCATGAGATAGTTCATAAAGATCTTGTGAGCAACAGGAGGAGTGTAGGTCTTACAGAGTAAAGACAAAGTTGCTTCATCTTGGGTTGGTTTTGAATCATTTGTTATCTGATCTGAATCCTTCATAAAGGTCTTTATAACACATTTTGGGTTAAACCCAAGCAAGCTCCAGATCGCTTCATTAATATTCTTTCGGTTGATGGGAAGGGGCTCAATGAGAGTTTTGAATACTTCACTGAAATCTTTGTTAAGCAACTTCTTGTTGTCCTCACACCAGGTTTCGTACCTGGTAATCACCCTCTTGCTGATAATTTTGGAGTATTTCAACTGTTTTTCATATTTACTCCAGAGGGAGTCGAGCTTCGCAGAGATTTTATGGGCAATTTCATGTAATTCAGTTTGGTCTCTCAACTTTTTAGCCTTTTCTTCTTTGAAATCATATTTATCTTCGGTCATTTTTTGGATATAGCTGGTTATTTTAATCACTTTTTGAGTGTCCTCTGTCAAATGTTTCTCTCATATAAAATAATTGCAAGGATTTTCTTTGGAGAATAGTTTGATAGCAGAGATGAACTTCTCGTCAAGATTGACTGAAATTTCTTCGATATCACCACTAGTCTCCTTGAGTTGTCCAAGGAACTGTTTAATCAGGGTTTCCTCGTACTTTTTGAAGAGGAAAATTGCTTTTAGCACCAACTCCTCAAATCGATCAATTTGGTAGACAAACACACATTTTGTTTCATATGCTATTTCTATCTTTGACTGTGTATCGATGAAATATGCGCCTTCGACCAAGTCCGAGTTTTTATGCTTCTTTAGGTCAATGTACATGCCAAGTCATTCCTCGCTTTCTTCAGATGTGATCATGTAGCTCTTTTGAGTTTTCTTGTAATTTTTGTCCAATAGCTCTTGTAAAGTCATGAATTCGTACAGAACTTTTAAGTTCTTCTTGGAATCTTTCACTCAGTTTTGCATGGCATGTCTTCATCTGAATTGCTCTTCATAAGTAGGAACCTTAGTTTGGTAGATATCCTTGATAGCATCATCCTCAATAGTGGCTTGGTCAATGCCACATATAGACTTAAACTGAATTTCAGAGGCTACTTCTTCAGGGATCTCTATTAATTTTCCAGGGATGTACTTAGCTAAAAGGTCTGTCATATCTTTGGAAATGTCAGGATTTAATTTAGAACGATTTGCTTTATCAATCAGGCTAATCTGGACTTCCTCAGTATTATTCAAATCCATTTGCTCTCCTTTTACTTGTCCAAAGAAGTCATCTATCTCGCCAAAAGTAGGATCTGTGTCTTTGTCATCATCCTTAAGTTCTACAGGTTTTCTCTTAGCAACTTTCGGCTTGGGTTTAGGCTTCTCAATTTTAGCATGTGTGTTAACCGCTAATTCTTCAGGTTTGAGGTCATCGCTTTCCTCTGTGGCGTACTCTACTTCACTAGTTGTGTTTTCAGAGTCATCTTCAGACTCAATCAGAAGCTTCTTTTTAGCAATTTTAGGCTTTTTCTTTGCTTTTGGTTTTGGAGTTTTAGCCCTGAGTTGTGTCTTTTTGGTAATTTTGATGGGATTTTTTGGAAATTTGTGCAGTATGAATGGCTTATCTGAAGAGATATTGTCTATTTCGAGTTGGCTTCTGGAGGCTTTAGAAATGGCTTTTGGAGGAGAAGGCTTTGGTGGACTCCCCCATGGGTCGTGGGAGTGGAGAAGATGGGATTTTACTAAGATGGGGAAATGAGCCTCATTGTAGCGAGTGAATTTTATCATGAAGGGGCAATCTTTGAAGAACTTTTTATGCCCACATGTGTAGCTGTATAACCCAAGATAGTTAATGAAAAACTTTTTAGTCATAGGCATCCTATAGCAATGCTCCAAATGTTCAATAAACCTCTTGACTTCATGATGATCTCTGAAGATAAGTTCTTTGCCTAAGGCTTTTTTCAAATCCTTTTGTAATCTCATAGCCTTCTGTTCAGCAGAAAGAGTCTTACTCTTGTGATACTCTATCCTAGGGTATTTCCCAACCGGTTCGGTATACTTCTTATTGAGCTTGCTTTCATCATCAGCTTTCTTGATGTTGCCATCACTGATCCAGTTGATTAGCATGATGAGGTATCCAGACTTGATGCCTAAAGTTCCTTGTAAGGATCTATAAATAGTTAGATAATGTTAAAACTTACTTTAATGAGTCATAATCTCTAGTGATCAGGACCTTCCTCAGGGAATCCTCAATGTAAGGGGTACAAATGATGTTGTCAGCCCAATGCTTGAACTTCCGGTCATCAGGGAGTTCCGCGTAAAACTGCCCCATGATCGTTTCGTATTCCTCCTCCAGAGAAGTAGTCTTATCGTCTTCTTGGGAGTTGAACTCAAAGTCCATCTGGCATGGGTTAACTTCGGCAATAATCACATTATCTGTCTTCTTCTTCTCAAGGTTGGTTGAGAAGATGTTGTCACCTTGGAAAGTGGGATCTGGGATCCCTAAATCTTTCAATTCAAAATCGTCCATAATTGTCCCGTAACGAGGGGTTTTGGGGTTTTGGGGTTTTGGGG